TTGTAGCGCAAAATTTTGGTCACATACACACACACATCCACACATACAAGCCAGTCTCTAAAAAGTGTCCGGAGAGTTTATAGGGGTCATGAAACGTGGACAAATTATGAAATATCCACAATCGATTTTTGGGGTCATTACGATGACTTCCTCCCTTCGGGTCGGGAAGTTGAAAATATTTTTATGAAAATGTCCCTGAATCATCTCCCCGGGACTGAGCGACATTCACCAAGAAAGATGATGTGATAACCGTCCGCATTTCCTCATCAAATTTTAAGAGAAGAAAATTCGCAAAATCAAATCCCCAAATGTGCCTCGCCAGCGAGTCTGTAATGACGCGCGGAAACTCTCCGATAATTCCCCAGCTCCATAAAAAAAATACGATAATTCCAAATGAAAAATTTATCATTTCAAATGCCACTGAATCCCCATTCCTCATTCTCTCTCGCCTGACACTTTTATTTCTGCATTGTCAACTATGTTTAGTCTTATCACTCATACAAAAAATACATACGATTCCCTCTCTCATTCACCAACGGAGAGGAGAGTACTCGCAATCCCCCCTCTCCTGGAATTCTTTATTTTCCCGATCCAAAAAAAAGTACTGGGACTGAAAGCGTTTAAAGTAGGTAGACAAGCGATGCCTGGGAGCAGAGTAAAGACGCAGAAAAAACATTCAATGTACGAATTCTCATTGAAGTCCTCCCTCATTACATTCAAAACCTCTTCCTCGCTTTGCAAAAAGGTCCTTTTCTCCATCAACAAGGTCACGACGTCCACCTCAGTCACTGAGAACCCCCACAAATTCGCAAAAGGTCTTCTTCTCCTGTCCTGTCCTGTTCTCCAACCCTAGAAAAAAAATGTAGAAACCGCAGACCAGAAACAACACTGTTAGAAAAAAAAATTCATGGACAGTTGACTACTAATTTTCAGGACAGTGACTTTGAATGCGATTTAGGGGAAAAAGATCATGACATTTCAGGTTTCACTGAAAATTCTGTAAAATTGCAGAATATTAAACAGGACAAAGACGAGAATTTCTTAATTTATTTGAATTTTCAATCTAATATGAATATTGAGTGCCAAATTATATTGAATTTTCAGTGAAATCTGAAATTTTATAATTTTTTTCGCCCCAAATCGCATTTATTGTCACTGTCCTGAAAATTTAAGGGTATATTTACGGGAATTTTTTGGTTTTCTTTGATTTTTCCACGGAATTCTAAAGTGTTAATGATGAAATTCCTTGAAATTTCAGTTGTAATTAAATTCGATAAAAAATTCCAAAAAGTACCGGAAATTTCAGACAAAAATTTTCAACAGTGAACGACCAAACGCCCGAGAATCTAATAGACTTTTCCATTCTGGAAATCTAAGGGAAATATTTATTCCGTTTATCGAACTGAAAAATCTCCAGAGAAATAACAAAAAATTCTGATAAATATTGACATTTAAGATGATATAGATTTGAGCCATCAAAAATGATGATTAATATGTCAATTCCGTAAAAGTGTCCGAAACTCCCAGGGGAATTAACACTATTGGCAAATTACTCCTGAAATTGTAGGTAAAAAATCTTGAAATTTTTAACAATTACTCATTGACACAAAATTTTTATGTATTTTGTTATTGAAAAATCAGTTGAATTCTGGAGTATTCAGTAGGATTGCTATTTTCAGGTCCATACACTAATGAAAATTATTAAATAATTTGAAAAATCAAGCATCAATTTCCCTGTATTTCCAATCTATTGAAAATTCATTTGGATGTGATGTTCAATTTCCGCAATGAATTTGAAAATTCTACACGTCATTGAAATATCAGCGATAATCTGACATGGAAAACCCCATTGTTCTGAATTTCCAACCTGAGTGAGAGATTCCATGAACGATTTGATGTTAAATTGAATTGAAATTCATAACATAGAGAATTCAAGTGTAACTGTTACTTAATTTACAAAAAAATTCTAACAGTGTAACATGGGAAAAAAGTGTTGGAAAATCTAGTAACTCTCAGGATGAAAAGGTCTATTCTCCTCGAGTTTTCACGATGTCAGCTGGGCTTGCGCCTAGCAACTCAGGGCACCTCGAGAGCCTCCCTACACCCCTGTTCATAAAAGGCCACGATAACTCCCGACCCACCCCGGATCCTCCCGATCACACCACTCGGTTGAATCCCCGAGTTACATTCGGGGAGTCGTGGCACGAACTACTCCTATTAACTGAACACCACGAACCGGCCGGTCAGCTGTAAGCCGAGCCGCCTGACTGCCAGAGGACTTGCTGTCCGAAAAGAGCCGGTTATCCGTGAAAAAGAGACATCTCCCCCCAAAAAAGCGAGAAAATCCCCCCAAAAAACGTCAAACTCCCCCCAAAATTTTAAACTACCCGCAAATTCCGAAAATCTCAATTAAATAAAGAAAAAAAAAACTGAAAGTGGGACCAATCGAGTGTGTGACCACCCGAATGGAGCGAAATCGAGGGATTTTTCGATTGACAACCCACCAATCGTAAGACAAAAAACCATTGATAACTCAAAAAAACGAAGCCAGAGCTCTACATTGGAGAGAAGAGAGAGTGTGCGAGAGCGAAGTAAAAAAGACTCGGCTATAAAGACAAGAAAGGAACGGAGTAAACGAGCACTGCGCCGGGTTGATGGGTGAGGGCGGGGTGGGGGCCGCGGGGGGTGAGTGGGTGAAGTGAGACAGAGTTTAATACGAGTGAGTGAGAGTTGGCGAGGGGCAGATCGGAGAGGAGCGAAAAAACGACGGGCAGCGTGAAGCGGCTGTGATCACGAAGCTGGCAGTTCTCGTCGGTCGACCGCGGAACACGTATCATAGAAGTTGTGTTGGACGGATTCCGATTTAATGATACAAGGAGTCAAGTGGAAAAAGTGAGAAAGATCAGCGAATATGAGGGATTCGTAGCAATTTATGATTTTTTATTACCCAGGGGGGGTAATAAATGAACAGTGGATTTTGCACAACTGGGGAAGGGTGAATTGATAATCAATGGGAGGAGGGAGAGGATTAGAACGAGATTGAAGGTGAAATAGTTGACTCGAGGGCCTGGTTGGAATTGTTGGAGCTTTGGAGGAAGGAAAAAAGGGGAAGGGTTGAGTGTAACAGTGGTGAAGTTGAGTCCAAGGTAGTCGAGTGTTAAGACAGAGGGGAGGTAACTGGTGTTGCTGGGCCACCGGTGGTTGATTAATGCAAGTTTAGACGGAATTATTCGCCGGCTCGTCCGATAATTCGAGGGATTTATGGGACAGACGGGATTGAGAGGAGTTGAGTAATTAATCCGGTATTAATTGATCAAGTTAATTGATTCGAGTTTCGGTGAAATTGATGGAAAAGTGCATGTGGGGTGGGAATGAAAAAACGTGGAGGTTCGTGTGTCAGGTGCACGAGAGCCGTTCATTGAGCGTTAAGTGGCAGTAGCCGGTGTTAATTCAGGGAAATATACCCGAGGAAATTTATGCGAGTGACGAGGAGCAGGATGGAAGGAATTTGTGCATTTCTTTTTGGATTAACATCGTGAGATTTTGAGGACATCGTCAGGAGGCATTTTTTGAGGCGATTGAAGGGGAATTGATGAGGTGATTGGCTTGGATACGTTGGACGATTGGTTGATGATCAGTTGGATTCAGATGTTGGATGATTTTTTTGGAGTAGAATCGTCCGAGGTAGAGCCAGTGTCTGGGCTCTGCTGTCTTACCGACCGGCCGGTGCATCACGATCGACCGATAATTCCACTCGGTACTCTTCCACCCGTGCATACATGGGGTAGCAACGAGCTCCCCGCAGTTTTCACACTCCTCAAAAGACCCCCCTGCCCTTTCATCCACCGGAAAACTCAAGATATCACGAGAGAACTTTTTTTTCCAGTTTTATCATTCGCTCAATTGCAAAAAAATCAAGTCAAAATTTATTTAACATAATCTATCAGCTGGAGGCTATCACAATCACACGGGGGCAATTTTTTTTTAATGAACCAGTCAGCAAGAAGTGATAACAGGGAATAATTGCGATGGGGCAACTGTAACTCAAGTGATAGTGTGAAGGAGAGCACAGTCAGATGAATAGTTGACACTCGAGATGTTCTAAACCTTTGGCTATGTAATTTCACATGTTTCTTACTCACACTTTACGAATCAATGTATTCATCGTATCAAGACGATTAAACATGACGAGAATTACGAAACTGAGAGTAGCTTGTGTGTCGTGTGTCGAAAGATAGTGGAGAAAACGAAAAAAAAATTTTTTTCGTTTAAAATTATAATAAAAAAGTGGGAGGAGATTTTTCGTGAGGTCCAAGCAATGACCTTCGGAAATACGAGGCCATTGGAATCTTCGGGTTTCCGTGTCGAGCACGCGACCAAGACGGCGCCAAACTCGACATTTTTTCGTTAATTTGAGCCTTGGAAACGCACGAGAGAGAGAGAGAGTGAGAGAAAGATAAACTCGTTGAAATAAAAAAAATCCACAAAACCGATACTTTCCCCAGAAATAATATTCAGGAAGAGAAAATTCCCCAAGGGCTGGAGGACGACGAGATTCCCAAAAAGTAGGAGTGGAAGTGCGTTTTTCTAAAAAGATCTCAAACCAAAAAAGAAAAAAAAAGTTGCAGCGAAAGATTGAGAGGAGGAAAAGAAAGGAAAAAAGGAAAGGAGAGAAACAAAAAATCACACAGCCCCTTTAACGTGCCTTGGAAACGAAGAGATTCCTCCCGCGTATCACCTCGATCGAGACCGTTCCTTGGATAGCCTCTATGGAACACTACGCCAGAGGAATTGTACATACCCGCCTTTTCAAAACCGGTTTCGTTCGGCTTCGTGAAACTCGCGTTTACATTGGTTGCGTTGTGGGAAGCATGAGCCAGTAAGGAATAAAAATAATAAAACCGAAGGGAAGTGAAAAAGGGAAAAAAAGCTGGCGATTTTTCTCCTTTTCCAAAAGCTGGTAAAGGATAAAAAAATTAAATTTACGCAAGGGCATACACTTGGTTGATACCAACCAGCGAGAAACTGTTCGAGGGAGTGAGCGTGAAGAGGCAACTTCCTAATCAACCCAATTTGCAAGAAAACTATTCAAAAATGGAATTAATTTATGCAAACAATCACCACAAGTTGCTAGCAGTTGGTCAGTGCATTGTAGACAGTTGCAAAACTTAAGGAAATACTCAAGAATCCCTAGATCACCATCAAGTAAAATCACATTACACTTCTGAATGATAATAGTGGCTGAAGTTGGTAGTGATGAAGCAGTCGGCGAGTACGCCAACAGCTGCCCAAGTGCAGTCAATCGTATTCACATCGAGAATACGACAGACAGATCATCGTCGTCAGGTCTGTGACACCGAGTACGATGACGATAATAAAACAATAAAAATAACCCTAAATGACAGTAAACAAACAAACAAGTATTCACCCAAGAAAGAGGATGATGGTAAGACAAAATCACCGGCTATGTCACGTATGTTAGCTGTCGATGCTGACAATTACATGCTGAGAAAAGGTGCAAATAGTACAAATAGCACTGGTGTTACAACAGGTACTAATAGTGTACAGATGACAACATTACCAGTTACAAGTGGTGGACAGTGTAATGTTACAAACGTTGTACTTGGTACATCATTGACTGAGCGCAATCAATCGAGATTTGGTATTAATAATAATGTCAATTGGCAGCATGTCAATCAAAATGGTACGTACTGTTCGGGCCCTGCTGTACTGGAGAATTGTGGTAATGGAGATGGTGTTATTAGTGAACATTGTGATACATTGAACACGTGTGATGGACCATGCGCCTCGTCGCCCAGCAACGAGATTGACCAATCGTTTGGATCACGTCAGGAGGCGCATGTCAATGATGGAAGTGAGCGCAACGCAAGGTTGAGAAACACGACCGATTCAAGCCAACGACGTCTAGTGAATCAACAATTTTTAGGAAATAATTCGACAACACTGAGTCCCAGTGGCAAACATCATGGAACATTATTTGATAATGCATTGCTCAACAGCATTGCACTTGCCAGTCATAATTTGATGCAATCGAAAGTACAATTGAGGTGTGATAATCGTGAGTCGAGAAAGAATTCTGAGTGCTCAATTTCGGATGAGGATATTGGAAGTATTGACAGCTGCTGTGTTGATAGTAATAAGCAGGATGTCTCTTGCGCTCGTCCACTCTCGTTTCATCGGCATATGTGCTGGTGCAATGAGGGCTTTTTTACGAATGAGGGGGGTGATAAGGAGGAGAGAATTGATGGTAGTATTGTTGAGAATGGTCAGGTGATTAAGAAGGGTAACAGAAGTGATGAGTCACCGCGGGCCAATGGCAATTGTAAGAGTCAAAATGGTGTTAGACGTTTACTTGAGAATGGTAGTATGGGTAATGGTAAAATAACGATACCTTATCAGAGACGAAGTGAGACGTATTCAAGTTTATGTTGCTGTATGTGCGGTTCTATGTGTCCTGTAGAGTGTCACGCCTGTTTCCACGTTGTCTGCAAGGAGTACAGTGGACAACACCTGTGCCAATGGGCCGACAAGGGACACGCACTTCCGGGACAGGTCTTTGACAAGGACAAGGTCAGTTGAAATTGTTTTTTTTTCTTCTTTTTTTAGTCTGTGAGTCAGTTTGAGGGGTTATTGGGGAATTTCGGGCTGGCTGGTGGCTTGCTGAGGAAATTTCCGCTTCCGTTTGGTGTAGTTTGAGTCTCTTTTGAACGGTCTTTCTCGCAATAGAAGAAGGGAAGTCGTTTCGGTAGTTAAATTTTATGTTTTTTTTTTGTTATGAGTAATGGTTTTTGTTTTCAATGGTCTTCGGCCAGTTTCTCAGCGGAAATTTCCTCAGTTTTTATACTGTGAACACTGTCAGCAATTTTTTGAAAATTAAATAATAGTTACACTTGAATTCTCAATGTTATGAATTTAAATTCAATTTAAGGGGTTACAGAATGCCGCTAATTTTCCAAATTTTTGAACAAATTTCCTGCCGAAAGCTATCGATATTTTCATGAATCGAAGGACATTAATCTTCAGGAGGTGATGATGAAGATCAATGCGCTTCGGGTTCGAAAAATATTGATAACTTTGAGCAGGAAATTTGTTTAATTAAAAAATAGGTGAAACATTTTTATTTTTAGGAATATTTCAAGTTTTTAGCGTAGCTTATGAACAAAAAATACTTATTTATACATATATAAAGTGTATAAAATAATAATACATTACATAGTGGCTCTAGTGGTCACGCGGGGGGAGTGTGTGGCTCCGGCGGTCATCCAAGCTAAGTTCAGTCTGCCCAGTACTTGGATGGGTGTCCGCTTAGGCACACCTAACCGCGTGGGACTACAGTCGCTAGGCACGAATGTAGAGAACCACTGTGCCCATTGAGTCAGTGTGACCAATGGACACAGTGGAATCCCTGCATTATCGGCCGGCTGCACGACTGAGGTTTTCCATGGTTTCCCTGGCAGTCCAATCCCGAATGGGGTGCAGTTGGGGATAAAGTAAGTCGGCCCATGGTGTAATGCAGATAGGGAAGGGAACAAAATGTAAAAACCCGAGAGGCTGTACATATGGAACCAAAATGAAAAAAAAATAATAACTACATTATATTAATCCGATAAAATTTTTCATCTTCGATTTTTATTCTTTGCTATTTTTTTAATGTATTCTATCAAAATGTATTTTCGCACTTGAAAAAAGGGACCGATTTCATTGTTAAATGCACCCAATTTCATAAACATTACACATGAATTTTGCTTCGTAAAAATTTTTAAAGATGATTTCTCAAACTTTGAACATAATAAAAGCAGACATCAACTCAATTTTAATAAAGGAATGAATACATAATGATAAAAAATCACATCCAACTGAATTTTCAGTGGATTGAAAATTCAGGAAAATTGTTGCTTGCTATTTAATAATTTTCATTATCCCGTGGACCTGAAAATTTCATCTCAATGAGTGATTCTTAAAAATTTCAAGATGTTTTACTTGAAATTTCACGAGTAATTTTCTAATAGTGCACTGGAAGATTTGATTTTTGAATCTGAAAAAGTGGAATAATCTCTTCACTAGAATTTTACGATCATCTCGAGTGTTTCTATTGAAAACTCGGCTAATCCTTGAGATCATTGAACTGTTCAGCCAGACCGAGGCCGTAGATTCTGTCTCGATCGAGGGCGTGTGGATTAACGTCAGACGGTGACAAATATTTTCAATGTAATCAAAGCCATCTTCATTCACAGTGCACCAAGCTATCCCCCCTCGAGTAATTAAACGGTATCATTTATTCGATGAATTCGTGGAGAAGTAACATCCGTTGAAGCCACTCATAACTCCCATTTAAGCATTTCCTAGTTTCTCAACATTGTAACATACCAGTTATTCATTATCTAAATTCCCACATTTAAAGACAACACTTCCGTTTATCACTGACCTATTGCAAAAATTTCAAACGCCAACAGCACAATCTCCATTGTTCTAGTAAAGTCGGTAAAAATGATTCGAACATTTTCGTTCTTTTTTTTTTGTTGGAGATAAATTCTGCAGGAATTCCCAGGTAGAAATTAACAAGTGGCCGAAGCTTGGTCCAAGGGCGGCCCAAGCTTGGCTAGTCATGGGTCAAGACAGGTATCCAAGGTAGATTGATAAATTCCGGATACCGTGAATTTTTTGGTAAAATTTTATAGTACATAAGGTAAATGACCCTACGCTCGTTTAGCTAAGGTGAACACATTATTGGTCAAATATTTCTAACGAAATGAGCGTGAAGGTGCCATCATTTAAATTCGATAGCGGAGGGTAAAACCTTTAGAATTGGAATGTACTCATATTAATCATGATAATTACTATTTATTTTTGGTTCCATATGTAAACCCTCTCGGGTTTTTACATTGGTCACACTGACTCAATGGGCACAGTGGTTCTCTGAGAATGGGATTTTTCTCTCTTATTATTCAATAAATCACTCTTCATTGGTGTCTATAACTTTTCTTATTAACTAAAATAATTACTCCAATCGTATTTCACTCTTAATAGACTCTTGAGACTATCAAAATAATTCACTGAGATAGCTGGCAGCATCTGAACGAGCATAGGTACATTTACCTTAGTCTCTGTGATATTCAACTCTAAAAAATTGAAATTTCGTGAAATTATTCCTTATTTAATTCAAACAGTTATTGTTCCGTTCATCAACAACATATGAGGATAGAAAAACTCAAAACTGATGAGAATGCAACAAATTAAGTCATTTACAATTTTTTCCGGAAATCCATAGGGACTAACTTTTGTGTGCTATTGTCTTGGGATATACCTTAAGAACCAAAATTTCTACTCCGTTTGGTCACAGAATGGGGAAGCAAACAATGGTAAATAAATTTATTTACATCTTTGTTGAATATGATAATTTGATAATAAGGGGTTTCCCAAGACGATCCCGTGAGATTTTGTTTTGAAATCCTTCATTCACTACAAAATGCTAATTCGTCATTTCGCCATAAAACTATTTCCCCCAAAATAATTAATCAATGAACATAAACACAAAATTTGATTAAAAAATTTTCAAACAATTTTTTTTGAGTCCCAAACCACTCACATACATTCTAGACCTCATGGCGAAGAACTCTCAAACAATATTTATGCTCAAAATAAATCAAGGCGTCTTTGTTTCAATTCAAACAGGAAATTCAAAATTTATTTGGTTCATCGCTTTCGACTTTTCCATAGCAAAGGGGGTGCAGATGATTACAAAAATACACACCGAGTGAAAAGTTCGGAACAACAGTAAATACCTAAAATAACCAGCAATACACAGCGTCGGAAACGACCAATTCGAAAATCCTAATTTAAGTAGAAGAAAATCTATTTCGTTTCCTCATAAAACGTAGAAGAAACAAGCTGACATGAAACTATAACTCACGTTCGACCCATACTTCACGTTCTAACAAGCCCCAATTTCATTGTCAATTATCTCGCAAACTACGCTGTACAGCCAATTACAATTTACAGTAACCGGAGAACATTATTAATATTTATTTAAAAAGTCCACTTTCAACGTCAACGTCCTCAACTCTCGCATAATGAACAAGTGTGTAAAGTTACCAATTATGAGTTTAGTGCGTTGAGCCAGAAAATGGGCAAGCGGCGATCATTATGAAACAAAATTGAGAAGCGGGGGTGTTCATACGTATATACATAGGCCAGAGGGAAAGGTGCCTCACTAGCGGTTATAGCCCTGCCTTTTTTCCTTCTCTTTCATTTTTTTTTCTCTCGTTTTCTAATAGAAAAATCCTGCTCTTTATCTTGCCCCGACGTCATGGACGTATTATATTTTTCTCTCATTGGGGAGTTTATGGACCGCCCTAGAAACCCGTAAAACTGGTGGTGTTTCTCATTAAAACCGATGATTTAGGTTCAATTGACATCGGCTGCGATTCCAGATATCATTAGCTTGCGCGGGAGAGCACTAAGGTAAAAATATGTGCCCGTGGTTCCTATTCTAAATATTATAAAATTGGATACTCAGGTGGTAATCATCGTGGTATTAGAGTATTGAAGCGATAGAATTATTACGCGGAAAAATGTATATTAGGATTGAGGATAAATCTAAGCGAATGGACAATATATGACTTTAATGGTGATGCATGGGATTCGGTTGTTATTTTTAGGAGGAATTGATGATTATTGTGAAGCTTGTCCTCATTAGTTTCAGTTTTCTTTCAATTAATGGGTCCCTCTCGATTTAATCCTCTCGTAAATTGGGGATTTACGGGGAATATTCTGAAGTTTTTTTTGGACGCGTATTTTTTTGTGTTAATTAAAAAGGGGTTCGGGTTGTTAGTGAAGTTCAATTTGATTTTTTAAATTAAATGATGTATGAGGCTGGAAATTCAAGAGGAATTTCGGAGTTAAGCACAAAGAGATTGGATTTTATTTGAAGTTCAGCTAGTTTTTTTTTAATCCGTGGAAATTGCGCTCAATTGCAGTTGGCTTCAAGTAGCTCTGAGGTTATTTTTCATTTAAAAGATTTTTAAATCTGCAAACAATTACCTGGAAACTCGATGAGACTCGCAATTCTATTTTTTTTTGCCATTTTATTGTCGTTTTTGTTTTCATTAAACGCGATCTAAAAATTGCATTTTCGGACTTTTTGGATCATAATGGGTTGGTATAACACAAAAAATCGAAAACTTAAATTTGGTCGATTACAATGCTTCCATTCGGAATCTTTAGGGGATAATGAATCTGCACGTTTCGGGTTGTAATAAACAAACTTCAAACAATCTCAAATAAAATTAATTCGAAATGAATTCAAAAACAAACAAGTCAAAGTCATCGACCCTTGAATTCAAAGACACACGTAAATGAGTTGAGTAAATTGTAAAAATAATACGATGCAAAATATCAATATAAAAATTCGAATTAATAAATCCTCATTAAAGACAATATTTTCAAAAATAATATTCAAAAGACAAATCACACTAATTATCCCAATAACCTCAAAAATAATAGAAAAATATATAATTCATTTCATTAGTCATTTATTCATCTGTTCATTTTATCCTAATTATTCGTCACAA